CTGTTCAAACAATGTGAAATTCATTCTGAGTTATATTAAAAAATCTATCCTAATCCATGCAGCATTCTCATTTCTCTGACTTATTCTCTGAACAAAATATAATGATCAAATAAATTGTCCAAAAATTAAGATGATGTGGTATATTCAGAGATATACTGATTTATGGAACAGCACAGGCAAGAAGCAGATCTGAACATATATGAAGACTCAGTATGTGATAAAGATGGCTTTTCACTTCAATGGGGAAAAGAGAACGCTGGTGCAAAATGGTTGATTTTTTTATAATTGACTAGCCATGTAGAATTGATTTAAGGTAAAATTGTTAATACATGCAAAACATTTAGCTGAGGACTTGGCACACAATAAGTGAGCACACAATAAGTTTTGCTATTTTCAGGAAAACAAAACTACATTCACCTCGCTTCTTATATAGAAATAAATTCCAAATGGATCTAGAGACTTAATGAAATAAATCCATAAAATATTCTAAATCAGGGGACTCCCTGGTAGTGCAAGGGATTAAGCCTCAGCACTATGAAGCTACTGGCAGCACGAGTTCGATCCCCAGCCAAGGAGCTGACCCACATGGTGCAGCAGACCTCTCCTGTCTCACCTGCTGCTCCCCTCACCAGTATATTTCAGTCAATCTGCCTGTCTGTTCCCCACTCTGTCTCTGGTGAATCCTCTCACCCCTGCACCTCTGGCCTGTACCCCAGTTCTTGTATGCATAAATAAATAAATCTTTTAAAAAATATTCTAAAACAAAATGCCAATGAAAATTTTACAATCTTTGGGTAGAGGAGGTTTACCTAAATGTCTTGCATGTCGGGCCTCCCTGGTGTTGCAAGGGGTTAAACACCACACTATGAAGCAATCCGCAGTTTCTGCAGCACCAGTTCAATCCCTGGCCGCCCACGGAGCAACCCACATGGCAATGCAGACCTCTCCTGTTTTGCCTGCTGCTCCCATCAGCAGTGTATTTTGGTCAGTCTGCCTGTTCTGTTCCCCACTCTGTCTCTGGTGAGTCCTCTCACCCCCCACATCTCTGGCCTGTACCCCAGCTCTTGTATGCATAAATAAATAAATCTTTAAAAAAAATGTGTTGCATGTCTTGACAGCCATCAGAGAAGAAAAAACTATTAGATAAAAAAGTTAACAGTTTTGTGCTGCAAAAAAATACTAAACATAGTTGAAATCTGTCCCCACCCAAAAAAAAAAAAAAATCTAAGAGGAAATTACTCATAATATTTAAGACAACAAGATCTTTGGGAAAACTCAAACACCTAAAATAGAAAAACAAACTGATTATACAAAAAGGCAAATCACAAGGAGGAAACAAGATGGTAATACACATGTGAAACAAAGAAATACAAACGAAAGTCATAGACCAGCAAACACATAAAGGCTGTTAACACTCACATTATAAACAATGTGGGGAAGTGGCCAACCCTGTCAAGCATTATTAACTGGTGGGCATGTTGACTGGAATAGTCATTTTGGAGGGCAGTTTGGCACTATCTATACAAATGACTCAGCAACTCCACTTCTAGAACTTCCATTAAGTAGATGGTCTGATAAATGTGAAAAACCCACTCAGCTCAAGAAACTGTAATGCTGGAGTAAAATACTGGAAACTACCTAAATATCCATTAATAGATTAATAATGGGTTAACTAAATTATTTAGGGCTATAGATATAGTGAAACATAGACCTTAAGAATGCTGAAGTAGATTGATATTTATTGAGTTCCAGGGGAAACAAGTCCCTCCTGAGCTCCTAGAAAATAAGACCATATGAGATGTTTATTTTAACCATAAATTTGGATTGTTATCTCTTCTCCATATTCCTCAACCAGCATTACCCGTGTTAGTGGGGAGCTGGTTGCTCATGTCGGAGGCTCATAATCTGATTCCATGAATCTCTATACAAAAATGTGTGTGTGTGTGTGTGTATATATACACACATGTGTATATATATACACACACACAACACCCATATATATATATATACATACACAAAAAATATATATATACAAATATATATATATATACAAAAATATACATATACATGGGTGTTTTTTTACTGGGCAGAGAATCTCAAAAGGCCTCCTTACCCCAAATGGTTAAGAACCACTGGCATATATAGATAATTTGTTAGGTCAAGTTGTTGTCTAATTTTGCCTTAAATAGCATATGTAATTATACATCCCATTAGTCAGCAAATATTATACATCCCACTAGTCAGCAAAATTATACATCCCACTAGTCAGCAAACATTTACTTAGTGTTTTCTAAGTCTTACCTTGATTGGTAACCCAATCACCATAAAATTTTGGAATAAATTTCTTTTTTTTTTTAAGATTTATTTATTTATTTATACAAGCACTGGGTACAGTCAGAAACACGGGAGGGTGAGAGAATTCACCAGAGCCAGAGCGGAGAACAGAACAGGCAGAAGGACCGAAGTACACTGCTGAGGGTAGCAGCGGGCGGCAGGCGAGGTCTGCGCGCCATGTGGGACCCTCGCTGGCAGCCAGGGATTGAACCGGCACTGCAGAGGCTGCAGGCAGCTTCGCAACCCAGCGTTCAACCGCTGCGCCACCCGGGAGGCCCTAAATTTCTTTATATACTTTGGAAGTATTTTACATACACACACACACACACACACACACACACACACACACACACACGAGACAAAAATCTGAAGATAGCCAAGTTCTCAGAATCAGATAATGACTAGAACACAATCAAGTAACAAAATTTAAAAAAGCAATAAATCATTTTATATATTATTTTTGAAATATGTTCTATAATTTATTGAGATCACATTATAAAATATAAGATGCGAGATTTGATGACCTAATGAACATGATTTTAAAAATGTCCCACGGTGTGGTGAAAATGATTCAGATACATAGGAAGAAGAATGGAGATTATCCTAACTGGTTAAATATCATTGAGATAAAACAAATTACAGGGAAATCAGCAACTATAAGTGAATTGTAAACAGAAGAAAACATAACTTTGGATTAAACAAGATCATCACACTTTCAGCTGGCAGAGAGGTAAGGGTAAACAAAAAAGAAACATAAAGTCAGCAGGTTTTATTTATGCAGGCACATCAGCAAATACACATTCATAGTTTTTAATACTATGAATGAACTACTTATGGATTTGGATTTTAAAAGCACTAAAAAGTACTGTATGATTTATTTTATGTTTTAGTATTCTCAAAACAAAAAACAAAATTCTGTAACAGTAAATTCCATTACAATAAATTACAAGGCACAATCTAAGTGAAGGTAGATTTTTACTGAGTCAAATTTTACATAAAATAAGTAGGTCTTCTCTCTCTCTCTCTCTCTCTATATATATATATATATATACATATATATAATTTTCTCTCTCACTGTATATATACACACACATATAAACACATAAACACACACACACAATTTGCTAGAAAGTGATAAGATCCAACAGCTGTGCCCACAATTCTAAAACATCAACTTGAATCTATTTTCATTTTTCTTCTTAAAATTCCTTAAAATGTTAAAATGCTTTTAAACACTAAATCTAGTTGCAAAGAAACTATTAAATATGAATTTAATTAAGGCAAAACACAAGTCTCCTGTATTAGCAATGATATATACCCAAGAGAAAGCATCTTTCACTAGAGATTTCCTTCACCAGTTAGTCCCAAATGAATACCATAATAACATTTAGAGAAGTCATTAAACATAACTAACGTAATTATAAGAAAAGAAATCCATAAACCTAGCAGCCTTTGTGGGTATCCTCAGAAAGGGAAAGCAGTACCAAGGCAAATGCAGAAAACATATCGAAATAATAAAATGTTCAGGGTGCAAAGGTAGAATAAACTAGATGAAACTGTTTCAAAAGTTAAAAAAAACCACATCTTCAACATGAAATGAATGATGAATTAGCAGAGCACATATACAAGTAAAACAAAATAATTTTTTTTGACAAGAGAAAAAAATACTCCCCAAATTTTATAGGAACATGGAGAGACCCAGTAAAACTGAGTAAGTCCTATAATTTCTTTTTATATTTATAAAACAATATACTTTTCCATCAGTTTATATACAAAAACATAGAATATTCCACCAGATACAGAAAATAACTCAGCCCTTAAATTCAAATTATTAACTTAACTCTGAAAACATTAAATACAATGAGAATGGTTTTGATATCTCTTCAACAAAAGATGTCATATAACCATACCAAACAAGTATACTATGGCAAATATTTAAAACATTACAAACTACTCATTGCTAAAAAGGGCATAGTGAAAACAAAGACAGGTTTTTTCATCCTAAGATAAATAAATCTTAATCTTAATAATCTTAAAAAAGAAGCCCCCCTCAGATTTATTGAGATATTTGACATAGTAACATTATAGAAGTTTAAGGTGTACAACCTGAAAATCTGGTATGTCTATATACATATGTTGTGAAATGATTACTACGATATGGTTAATATATCTATTACCACTGATAATTTGTGTGTGTGTGGCCAGTAGTTTTAAGATTTACTCTCTTAGCAACTTAAAAACTGACAAGACAGTATTGTTAAGTGTAGTCACCAGGCTGCAGCACTTCACATCCCCAGAACTTACTCATCTTATGACTGGAAGCTTGTACCCTTTGACCACCTTCCCCCATTTCTCCAGTCCCTGCCCCACAACCACCAATCTGTTCTGTTTTTGAGTTCGGTTTTTTCAGAGTACACAAATAAGTGAAATCATACAGGACTTCTCTTTCTCTACGTGACTTATTTTACTTAACAAAATGCCCTCAAGAGTCATCCAGGTTGTCACAAATAGAATTTCCTTCTCTTTAATGGCTAAGTAATATTCCATATATACATGTACACCTCATATTTTCTATATCCATGTATTAAAAATAACATTTTTTTGATTGCAAAAGTAGTCCCGGATTATTACAGAAAAATGAGAAGATATTAGAAACACAAACATACCAGGTTCCCATACCCCAGAAGAAATCTTTTTTCAATGCCTGTTTTTTGCCCCAAGCACAACTGTGATTGTTTTTTTATTTAGTAATATACTGTGACCTTTACCTACGTCATTAAATATTGTTTTGTAACATTTTTAAATGGCTGAATAGTATTTCATTGTACAGATATGCCTCAGTTTAGTTTAGTTATCCTGTAATGCTAAAAAATGATGTATCCAATTTACTGCTATTTTAAATAACATAAGAGGAATATCCTTGTATACAAATAGTGAATGCATTTCAGATTATGTCATCTAGATGGAATTGTTAGGTCAAAGAGTATGAAATTTTTAAGGCTTTCAATATATGTATCAAACTGCTCTTCAAAAAAAAAGGTATCAATTTACATTCCAACTAATGAGTATGAAGGTGCCAGTTTCCCCACATTCCTAAGCAATGCCGTTTTTCACTTTTTTCGATACTTTTAGCCTTTGTAAACTAGAAAAACTATACCACTGCTTCTGCCCACATTTCTTAATTTCTGAACATACTTTTACATGATTACTGGCCATTTGTGTTTCTTCTTTTATTCTTTTCCTATTGAGGGAACTATCTTTTTCTAATTATATACATACGTGTGTGTGTATATATATATTTTATTTATCAAGACTATTAGCCCCCCCTAATCTTTTGTCATATATGCTAAAAATATTTTCTTCTCTTGTCATTTACCTTTGGTTCCTGGCATTTTTGCCATAAAGAAGTTCTTAATAATTCTTATGCATTTATACATATGTATCAATTTTTAATGAGTTACTCCATAAAAACCACTGTTTTTTATGTTCGTCCTGTTCAAATTTAACCAGAACATAATGTTAAGTTCTGTCCAAACTAGACCTCTCACATTGGGTAACAAAAATTCAAAACTGTAAATTTTAAGGAAGTCACTTTTTTAGGACAAAATGTAAAATGTGTGCTAAGGAAATAAGTGACTTATTTAAGAACCCACTCCTTTAAAATTATATGCTTTGCTCTGGAATTGCAAAATCAAAGGATCATGCCTCCTCACCAGCACAGCATGTTAACTGCATTCATCTATTCAGGAAGCCAAATATCTCCTATTTTGTTTTGATACCTTCAAAAGTTAAGGAGGAAGGCCAATACAATGGAATTAGTATTCTTGGGACGTTTAAACTCACTGCAGTATAAACTCACCTTCAAAATAAACGTATGCTCGGCTTCTCCATGTATCACCACATAAGTGAAACACAACAAGTAATGAGGAAATATTTTTATTGTAACCCTGTATATTAAATCCTCTGCCCCTTTGAGGACCAGGCTCTGTAATGTCCAATTCTCACTGTAATTCTTCCTCATTTTCTGCTAGAAACATCACAAATCTAAACATCATAACAACATAAACCTACCAGGTGGGCAAAGTGACTCTGATTTTGTGAAGAGCTGTGTATTTCTGTAGACCCCTGGTGTGCTACTTTTCTCAAGCTTAAAAGGTGACCAAAAAATTGTTAGAAACATGAAACAAAATGAAGAAATAGAACTGGAATTACTTCTGAAAGAAAATCTTACCAATTTTAAACTACAGATGAATATCCTGTAGAATGTTCTGTTATAAAGTTGATTAATTCCAACTTTTAGCATTTTAACAGATGAGTGCTTAACAGTTTCTTTTTATAATGTGACTATAGCACCTGTGAATGTAACTTATTTTCCCCAGGCTGTATTTTTAAATCCTACTCTTTATAAAAACATAGTGATTTGCCACCGGCTATAGGCTCTGAATTTTAGACAACACAAAAGAGTTTTTCACAAACTTTCTAATTTACTCTCATCTGAAGACTGGAAAACCCCACTCAAAGCTTTTAAAACTCATCAGACATAGAAAACAACAGAAAAAAAATAACCAATTTTAATTGTAGGATCTTACTGACACAAACATAAGGAAATTCTGAGTTATAGATACTTCGCATTAAGCTTTTTCCACTGACACTGTAATTTCTGTCAACATTCAAAGAAAATTCAACCCTGGTCAAAGGTGACAGTTTGACAATTCTGGAAGCTAACATCCTCTGTTTATTTGAACAAGCTTATAATCTGCCCAGGGAATTGAAGTTTTTCTCACCCCTGACTTGATCTCTCAGGTTCAGATCAGTAAACTTTAGGGTGGTGAATTCTGCCACCAAGATTCAACTTCAAAACCCACCTCCAAGGAAAAGCGCTGAAAGAAAAGCGCCACAACATATGGAAAGGAAGGCATTTCTAAAACTAGTTTTCAAAGGCTGTAGACACACAGTAACTAGTTCAATTGCTCTAAAAATTATCTATCCCCCGAAATTAAAATTCTTGTCTATCTCAGAAGTCACAATTAGTAAGCAATGCTGTTTTTTTCATTGAAGCCTTTTAAAGCTTCAATGAAACGAGACTTAGACCATAAATCCCTTCAAATGATGTTGTAAATAAAGTGAGCTGGACACCTGCATTCTCAAAACACAAACTCCCATGTCACCTGCCATGATGCACGATTCTTTTGTTTGTAAACACCGGCCGAGGAGACAGCTTATAGCTCCTCTCCTATGATGTGCGTGGACACGCTGGTGGGAGAACAGCAAAGGACAACCTACAGTCAGAGAATTTAGAGTTTCTCTGTTTTCATATAATTTCCAGGAATATATATATATATTAGTCGGACAAATACTTAATTACCTTCATGCACTTTAACGAATACATACAACAAAATTTCCATTGAAAACCAACAAGAGTCCATTTGGAACACAAATAAAGAAAGAAAAGCCTTTAAAGAAACCAAGGGTCTTGCTGCAAAGTTGCAGGTGCCTGCTCTCCTCTGTACCACAGTGGTTAGGAATGCGGCTTCCAGAAACAGTTTGGCCTCAGCCTGGATCCAACCCTGCCACCACTAGTAATGTGACCTTGGACAAGTTACTTAGCTTCTCTGTGGCCATTTCTTCTTCTCTCATCTGAGGAAAATACCCACCTCTTTGCAGATCATGAGTTAAAACATGGCAAGAACTTATAAGCGTCTGCTTGGCATACTCTGCTCGGTAAATTCTGAGTGGACAATGTTCAGAATCATTTCTACTATGTTCTTTTTGACCATGGGCATAATTTGAAGTATTTTTTAATTAATTTTTCTGATCCCTTTTTGAAAGATGGCACGTTATTATTATACAGATAACTAGCCTATGTTCCCAGATGCACCCATGTAAGCAGATCTATTGCCCAGAGGGATAGTTGTTTTTAATACAAATCATGGATGTGGCTATTACCAGTAAGTTTGGCTTGGTTTCCCATATGCAAAAAATCCCCGACCCGGGGAAAACAAGCAATATTAGAAAACACTTGGGCTGTCCTGTTATCATTACAAAGTAAAGTCAAAATCACTTTTACTAGACTGATGGGCATTGAAAATATTAGTCACCAAATTAATCCCAACAAATAACAGTAATCGATTGGCTCATTGATGTATTTCCCCTTGTCTTCCCCAACCTTTCTCTAACTAATCAGAAAGGAAAGTTTTCATATTTTCTGAGAATCTCATTACTGTTCTTAAACCATACTCTATATCTTAGTATAATTTAAAAATGAGTCAGCACAAGCACCTCAAAAAGCAGTGCTTAGAATATGGAGCTGATTCTCTTCACAACAGAAATCTCCAAAAGTAAAGAGAGTACCAAAGGCAATGGAAGAATAAATGGACAGTAAGTACGGAGTAGATCTTGCAAATTAGCTTCCAAAAGATAAATGTTCTTTACTCATCGATATATGTATTTTATCTTAATAGTATTATAATACATGGGGGAAAGATATGATTAGTATGAATAAGCCCAAAGAAAATATCCAGTATATGACAAATCAAAACTTCTCCTTTCTTGAGTATGGGGAGGGGAGTAATGGGAGGTCAACCTATTAACCTCATTTGCAAGTCGAATTATGCGTAACTGTGCAACATGCTAATGCAGTACTGCTTTTAGTAATGTGATCCAAAAGAAAATCTAGCAGCAAACATATTTGAATGCTAATTTAATTGAGTCTATTTAGTCATTATACTTCTTTGAATACAGTTAGTTGGAGGCCAGTAAAAAAACTACTGGCTTCATCCATTGACACAATACTTGGCATCCTCCTTTTTCCAGGATATACTTCTCCGGGCTCCATATAACGCATACTCCAACAGTTACTTTGAAAGAGACCTAGCATGTCAAAATTATTCAGGAGAGTCAAGAAAGAGTTTTACTACTGAGGATGATCCCTCCAGATTTCTACCAACATATCCTATGTGTTCTCCCTGTTCCTACACAACAGTGTATGTGGCTTTCAGGGGAGGTCAGAGTTGCTGTTTAATACATGGGGCTCTGTATGAAATAAGCCTATGGCAACCCCTTTGAAAGGTCTGACATTCAAGGATCTGCGAACCTTGTTTCAAACTCCATCAGAGTGTGGTATTATTTCTTAGGTACTCGAGAGGAATCAGATTGCGCTCCCCTCCCAGTTTGGGGGGCTAACTGTACATGTGTAGTTGTTTTAAGATTCCCTCCAGGGTGGCCAAGTCTGGAAGAAAGTTGGGGAAATACTCAGGAAAGTCCTGCCTTCTCACCCAGACATCCAGGGCTCAGGAAGGCTGTCATGAAGCCGCACCATGGATCAGAGACAGACCACAGGACACTTGACGCTTGTCTTCGTATGTTTAAAATGAAGATGTGACGCTACAGGAAGGTTAACATGTGGACCTAATTTTGAAAATACAAACAGGAAGCACCCCCACCCCAATATTACCATTTAAAAAAAAGGAAACCAAACCTCAAAGATACCTTCCAAGGAAGTCATGGGTGTGACCAAAACTAACAAAAGTAATAAAACGTCATTTAAAACCCTGAAACCAAAACTGAGGGTCTTGTTCAAACAACCTAAAAATCTAACACAAATTATTCTTTTGATAAACAAAAACAGCAGATTTAGATATGTAAAATCTAACTGGCTTAGGTTTTTCAGGAGTAAAGGTACACCATTAATTAGAAAACAACAAAAATCAATATTCTACTTAAGACAAGGACATAATAGTTAAGAGTGAATGCAATTTAAAAAAAAACACTTAAATGTACAAAAAATAAATCTGTCCGATCAATGGAAACTAGATTGTTAAGTATGACTTCTTATTCCCAGAAATATATATAAAACTGTTGTGTTTCCAATATTGCAGGGGAAAAATGCTTCTGAAATTATAACAGTTGAATTAAAGTTCAGGTTGAAAGAACTTGTTTTTCCTTCAAACATCACACCAATTTGGGGACAGTAATTACTTTGGAGCTAACTTTTAAATGTTATTTTTATTAATTAGCTCCAGAATCAAAGTAGTTTGATACTTTATTATGCAGTATAAAGATAATTCTTCTGAAGAGCTCAGTAACCTGGAATTGTCAGGTATTTTTTTTTAGATTAAGTTTAAAAAGCTCAAAACAAATTAATGAAAACTGGTGATTTTTTTGCTTCCTTTTGTAGGAATAATGTGGTAATCTACACTCTAATTAACAGAAAAAACTGTGTCACTGGTAATTAGAACATTTAGAAATCTGTGACTAACTTTGTGAGATATATACA